TAAATTTTCAAATTCTGCTCAGAATGTCACAGTTGATCGGGTATCATAAGCCTCCAAATGATACTTAGATCTATTTAAAGCAACTGAAAAAGCTGACAACTCCACAGAATCTTTTCAATTGCTTTAAATGTTGCTGCAATGACTGATGTGAAATCGAAAGACCTGGCATAGCTGCCCTCGACGTACGGGGTACTTTAGTAATATCATTAGCACGGGACCTCCACAACGACCGGCAAAGAGGTTTTAAAATTCTTGCTGTGACACGTTTTAACTTAAGAGGCATAAAAACACATGAAAATCAACTGATTACGTATAAAACTGCATTAAAATGGATTGTGTCCAAGAACTTCTCAGAGGCATATTGGAAGCACCATACATAAAATATGCTTTTAATTGAAAATTTTATTGATTATAAGCCAAATGAGGAAAGCGAAAACGGACTAACTGATGCCTTCTGATCGATTCGATAGTCCTCCCGTTGCTTGTAACTCGTGTAATATTACGCGGCTTAGCCGCACGAGAAATCCAATTTTCCCAAACGGATGCGCGTAATGCTCTATCGGAGCAGTACAGCAAAACTGGTTTGATCGCCCGGATGGACGCAGCAACAAGCCACGGCCCCTGCATATAATCCGCCCTGCAATGATTAACAATGACCTTCTGCACAGTCGTCTAGAAAAAGTGCCTTATGTTCTGTTGAAACGGCAATTTTTGATAAACAGAGAGCATAGCAAAGCCGTCACATGGAAATTTCAAAATCTGGTTTAATACAGATAAATTTGAACAACGCGACCGTCATACTGACGAGGTCCAGTCGCATGGTGTTGAGCTAAGACGTATATGACTTAATGGACCGAAACGTCTTATCTCACTCTTACTCATTTATTTTTTCTACACCAGCTATATTTCTACATCTATACAAACACAGTTAGTTCTAGTTCTGCCCTATCTAAGTTCTTAATATTACTCGTATTGCTACAACCATGCAAGAATCAGTTTAGCAGAATTCTAGGATTGCTTATTTACGCGCAAATCCAGCCTTAGCTGTGAGTATTTTTATCCAGTACCAAGCTACACTGTAAATGATCCCACGCAATAATTCCACCTCTTACAGTACAGTGCAGTGCTGGTAAAAAAGCAGTGAAAACCGAAATTGACGAGTTATATCCTCTTGCTTTGCGAAGCCATCTACACTTTGGGATGCCAAAATGATGCGGTTTGGTTACCGCAAAGCAAATGAGCGAGCAGGACAAAAAAATCAAAATTTAAATCTCAAAATATGCTGCACCTCCCAACACAGGCACAAAAGAGATTTCAGTTAGGAAATCCCTTGGTCAACAATAACCACCTAATCCATTTTTCTAAGAAATATTTGGAAGAAAGGCAGACTGCAAATCAGACCTCCTGTACCTGAGGAGCACTTCTGTCAAATTCTCCACTGAAAAAAAAGCAGTGAAAGACTATGATATTCGCCGCCCAGGCGTGTTTTTTCGGGAGTTTCGAAGCATCAACACCTTATTCACTGGGTTAATAGAACGGGAAGCAATAAAGTCGACAACCTGCCAACTGCAAGTTGTCTTAAGATGTGCGGAGGAGCATCCCGAAACAATTTTCCATCAGTCACCTCAATGTTTTGCATGTCCTCGGAGTCTCGTAGCACCATCCTGCAAAATCAATTCAGTTTTGCTTTTCAGTATACTTTACACCATGCCTTCTAAAGTTGGAACTGAAGAAAAAACTGGATTTTGAAAACGATTAAAAGGTATGAAAAAAAACAAAAATTATTGATGCTCAGCTATTTGTTACTCATTAAATCATGAATAACCTGTAGCGCAAGACATAATGCTCAACAAAGCTATCATGAGCAGCGAACTGTTCCTGCTTTTTTGGTGTTTCGCCCATCCCCGATGCTTTCATTTGCAAATAATAGAAGTCAATAAGACGCCGCTGCCACTTCTCCATCACATCGTTTCGTTCATAAAGTGTCTGAAATTAGGCCCGTTAATCCCCCTAAAATCTACTTCAGATTCAAAAATACCTAAAAGCTCCATTCAAAATCTTCAAAAACACTTGCTCAATTCATTCCGCTCAAGAAATTTTTGAAATTGGCCCTCTCAAAAATGCCTTCGCATCCTGCTTTTTCCCAGGGGATGCTTATTCACTGGCATGCTTTCATGCTGAACCACTACAAACAGAAGCGAACTGAAATTAGCTGTTTCATTCACTAGCAAATGAAAAATATCGGTTGCAATTATCTACTGAAACTTAAACAAATTACAAACAGTTTTACCAACTACAGAAGTGAATTTAGAGTAAGCAAGTCCCGGACTACAGTAACAAACGGCTGATGCGGTCTCTGAATACCTACAATGTTGTAATTTTAATTTTAGATGATGTGTGTTTATGTAAAAAGTAAGGGACTGAAAGGGAATGTAAAAAAATTAAATCTGAATAAAAATCTGAATAGGAATGTTTGAATAAAAATCTGAATAGAAAATCTGAAATAACACAACG